TATATTATCATAATAATTGCTTACACTTATATAGCACTTTTCTGGACACTCCACTCAAAGTGCTTTACAAGTAATGGGGACTCTCCTCCACCACCACCAGTGTGCAGCCCCCACCTGGATGATGCAACAGCAGCCATAGTGCACCAGTACACTCATCACACATCAGCTCTCAGTGGGGAGGAGAACAGAGTGATGAAGCCAGTTCAGAGATGGGGTGTGGGAAATGTGGAAATGGGAAATGTGGCCAGGACACTGGGGTTACACCCCTACTCTTTTCGAGATAGGCCCTGGGAGTTTTAATGACCACAGAGAGTCAGGACCTCAGTTTTACGTCTCATTCGAAGGACAGCGCCTGTTTACAGTATAGTGTCCCCGTCACTATACTGGGGCATTAGGACCCACATAGACCGCAGGGTGAGTGCCCCCTGCTGGCTCCACTAACACCTCTTCCAGCAGCAACCTTAGTTTTTCCCAGGAGGTCTCCCATCCAGGTATTGACCAGGCTCACACCTGCTGAGCTCCAGTAGGGTTGCCAGTCATGAGCTGCAGAGTGATATGGCTGCTGGCAATTATTTTGGCTATTCATTCCAACAATGCTGAAGTACAGTAATTGGTCTTAGAACTTTTTCCAGTAAACTAGCTAGCTATTAAAGCTTAGACAAACAGGCACAAGCAACATCGCTGAGTTACTGACAATCCACAGCATCAGCCACTGTTTAATCTGCAGCATTAAGTAGGTCTGTAATTAGTTTGGCTTCTTAACTCTGTAAACCCCTACACAGCCCAAGAGACTTGAATTATTCCTAAACTACAGTAAAACTACTGCACTGATACTGGAAGCCATTGATGGCTCATTCAGAACTGCAGTATTTCACTTCACTGCAGACAGTACTGTATAGTCAGCCAGGATTAGTGGAAACTGAGTTTTGAGAGGAGCAGCCAAACTGGAAGATGACTTTGAACAAATTTGGTTTCAGATTAAATATAAGCACCAATGGTCATTCTACTGTTTTCCAGATTGAAGAGGGGAGGCAGGGCATTGATATCATTTTTGTAAGGCCGGAGAACTATTGGGAAGGACAGAGAATTGGCCTGTCCAATGTGTTTACAATGCTGCCTACCAAATACAGTATATGTGTAATTTCAGGTGGGGCCTTTAAGGGACACTATTTTGTAATAACTGATGCCTAAGGAGATCTTAAATAACTAAATTAGTTTTGACTGCTTTCTCCCCTTTGGTGTCAGAAATGATTTGCTTCAGCTGTACTGTTGACAAGACATTTAGCAAACTGACAAGTAAAGGTTTATTCCAGGCTGACAAGAGAAGAAAATCTGTGGCTTCACAGCTGAAACATTGTGTTTCTTTTCTTCTCTTGTCAGCCTGGAATAAACCTTTACTGGTTCCTTTGCAGCCTACGCATGCTGATGCAACTACCTACTTGAACTATTTAGCAAACTGGTTGGTCTGTCCTCAACTAAATGAGCACATTGTTGCTCTCCTTTGACTGTTTAAACCACTTCACCATTCATTCAATCACTCTTATAATAAGCACTGTTAATGTATTGTGTTTAGCACTGCGACCTCGCATCCCTGGGGCCCTGGGTTCAATGCCAGACCCCCATTGCTAGACTTGAACTGGATGAAGCACTTAGAACATGGATGGATGGAAATCTACATGATTTTACTACTTAAATTTCAGATACATAGTCACTGAAACACCCTTCAATAATAAGGGGGGCAAGGAAAGTCAGCAGCTCTGAAGGAGATCTTGCTGATTTCTCATTTTCAGATGCCTTGTTTAAACGTACAGGATTTCAGACCAACGGTGCAGTTAAAGGACTTCACTGATTCAGAGGTCAGATAGGTCTGGTCAAAGACCAGAGGATGACCAGCACAAAAAATAAAACAAAACACCAGTTTAAAGGGAAGCTTTTGTTGTGTTTTCCCACTGCCCAGGTCTTTGTGTATGGAACCATAGTGGATCTATCTTCATTGTTTTATCTGAAATGAACATAAAAATGATTCCTGTAGAGATCTTTCACAGCAGAAGTATAATACATGAGGGATGGGGGTGAAAGTCAGCACAAAGCAGGTATCAGTTCAGAATTCCTCGCCAAGCAGCACGTGAAGCCTATCTACACTTGAGGCATAATACTTTTATCTGTACAAACACTTTCAATACATGTTCCTCTTACTTCTTGACCTGCATGATGACCATTTACTAAATGATAGTGCACTCCTACTTTCAAGAACTGTTAAGAAAGTTCTAAGAGCTCCCATTTTAATAACAGAGCCACTGTGATGTGAGCACAGTCCCCAGGGTTCGATAGCAACTGAATATACAGTAGAAATTGGTGACAAAGTACTGAGTCTTATCAAGCTCCATGTTGTGAGTGCCACTTTAATGAAGCCAATGGAGGTACGAAGTTAAAGAAATTTTCCCTAGTAAAATTAATAAATTAACTCAAGGTGTCCAATATTGTGAATAGAGCATAAAATGTTTGATCCTTTACTAACAGAGACCATCCACTGTCAGTAAAGGTCCTACACATGTGAAAGAGCAGGGGAGTGTAAGATTCCCTGGGCCACTGTAGTACTTCTTACATGCAAATCTCTGTTGCAGAAACAAGCTCACAGGAAAACAACAAAATGGAAAGAAGAAAGACAGCATTTCAAAGAACACAACACTTCTCTTAAATTCACAAGGTCTTGAGGTAAAAGTGAGCACAAAGAAACCAATTTACCACAATGAAATATGTCCAAATACATCAGCTAATGCAATAACAAACATGATTTGAATAATGAAAGATGTTAATGTTAACAAAAGGCACAAATGGTGACCCCCCCAATTCATTTGTTTGTGTGAAGCGAAATATGTTTATTCTCCTTCCTGCTTGTAGGTGTACTGTTACACAGTGCCACAGCAGAGTGGAGCTCACAGTGACTGCCATCTTTGTCCCACAGCTTAGAGTGCCACCTGCTGGAGCTGTCACACATGGCATCTGACAGCACTGATCAGTCAACGCCCAGCCTGGTATTCTGTTCCAATGGGCTTTACCCTTTATATACATCAAACCCATCTTTGAGGCACAACAAATTGGTTGACAAAAACAAAGAATATGAAAGTGAATTACATGTCATGTTTGATACATGTCATCAAAATACTGCAGCTGGGAAGCAGACCTGCATTTTTTCAGTGCAAAGCAATTCCATTAGAGGGTTAGAATACTGATTTGCCAGACAGGTACTTCACATTTTATTTTCAACCACTTTATTGCAAACTGGAATTCATCCTTGTAGGGCTCAGAGTCCTAAGGAACTTAGAAAAGAGCCCAATGGACCACTTTATTTCCTCCAACATACACAGTCAATTGCGCAATCTGTTGGACAGGGATATACTTTAATACAGGCCCAACCTTTTCAAAGTACAGCTCTGACAATGCACATGAAATATTCCCATAGCATATTTTTTATCATAAAAATCAAATGACCCATGAGCGCCTATTTTATAATAAAGACCAAATCACAATTAATCCTACCGAAGAATGAAGTTTCCTTCATTGAGGGTTAGAGTTAGCTCTGTTCTGTTTAAAGATTTTAGCCACCATGATTAAACCAACAGCCAGGATGCAAAAACATGCTACATCAAAGAAATCCAAACTGTTTTTAAAGAACTTTTTTCGTTCCTGTTACATTTTGAATACTCAGACACATTGCCCAATTAAGACAGAATCCCACTATTTGGTTTCTGATAATCCTTATATACTGTATAGAGGATATATAGGATAATCCTTATATACAGAGTATTTATACAAAAGCGTATCCAATCTGGTCATTTCCCCCAGAGCACAGGGGCTGAGGCTCCACTGTCCTGAGGAAATGGGGAATAATGTTCACACCAGCGGAACACTAAACAAACCGCTGCATCTGAACCAGAGGAAATGTTATGTAACTCCATATCTCCAACAGCAGGTCGAATTCAATTCCACAAAACCAGAGCACTGGAACTACAGAATCTCTCTTGCATTCTGCTCAAGCTTTGTTCTCAGACAAAAAGCCAGAATCAACTAACCCTACAGCACAAACCGATGTATATGGGGACAAACGTTCTTTTAGAGCATAGCAAGCTACCACATTATAAATACAATAGCTTGAGATATGGTCAGTAATCTCTCCCAATAAAGGCCAGAGTACAGGATAGTTTACAAGTGTCGTTAATTCAGGAATGACTAAAGACCATGTGTAACAATATTAAGTTTGATGGGTGAAGAAAACATCCCTAGAAACCCCAAAGATCACCTCGGATAAAGCAACTCTCCTCAACAACAGAGTGCCTCAGAAAAAAAAGACATCTTTACCAGTAACGCTTCATTTTAAAAAGTACAGGGATATCAGGGTACATTTCACTTTTAATCTGTTTGAAAGCCAATCCTGTGAGCCTGCACACCTCTGTCTACACTTCTGTGCTCCGTGGTCAATCGTGGTCAATCACCTAATTGATCAATGAGCCTGTGGCTTTGCAGCTAGCTGTTTAGATGCAAGACACATCCTTAACAGCTAACTGCAGTGCCTCAGACTCAGTGATCGTCTACACTCTGCACTTTTTGCATGGTCTGGTGTGTTTTATTTCCTCACTGCTACATATTTATTGTTCTCAACAACATATTTGTTGTTCCTGTTGTTAATATTTATTATGTTTGTAATGTACTGTCTACATTGTGTGGTGTTGTCTGCTGTACTGGATATGCTGGTACAGCAGGGGACTCTCACTGCACCGTGTTTTAAACAGCGCTCTTACGCAACCTCCAAGTGAAGGTTACCGGTAAATTATTTTGAGATACATTTACATGAGTTTACCCATCTCCTTTTAAAACACAAGTGCTTTTTGCTTTAGAAACCACGAACACCCTCTGCGTGCAATGCAACAACAGAGCCTCGTTAAGGCCTATAGTGCTTCATAGTGAAATACACTGCATCTTTTAATACAAAGAGATTAAATATGACAGTTATAGCCGGCAAGGCCGGTTGCTCGGACCAGCACCAACAGCCCCACGCCACCCTTCACACAAAACCATTTTCCGCATCTGAAGTTTGTGTGTAAATGAAGCTCATATCACGTGTCAGATGCGCGTCTTTGATTGGCCAGCCAGAAAAGCTGATGTATTTTGCAGCCAATCAACGTACAGAACCTTTAGCACCACCCTCCTGCCACACTTTCCCCGTTAATGTACACTACAGTCGGCAAAAATGGCAGCTCTGGGCGATTGCGTTGACCGGCTTGTTAGACTGTGGGGAAAAGCTCATCATTATTTATGTTACATGTTCATACTGATTTCATTCACAGGGTCCTTGATAAAGGAGATGCAAGTGCTCCCGGATGGGTTTTTCAGTGACAGACGAAATTTCCTGAACGTGTAAGTCAGTGCAAAGTGTGCACTTAAAATATATAGTACTCTGCGTGATCTACCTCAGACCGACATTCATTCACAATTTATTTATTCCAGTTGTCTCAAGTTTTGAATTAGCCGCTGTTGTGGACAAGGAACGGGCGTTACTCCCTGAAAGGTCCGTCGGGATTATACAGTATGTTCTTCTGTTGTCTTTAATGTGTTAGGATATGACCAGTCAAAAAGTTAAAACGTCCACAACATTGGATGGCTTTAAATCCTATGCTGTTAAAAAAAAAGTCTAAGCGATGTTTTTTTTTTAAAAATAGGAAATACTTTTTAAGCGATTCGATTTATTTTATTTTTATTTTATTCATTTATATGTTATGGTACCCGTGTGACACTCGGAACAGTGAGATGGGACTCAGTGAGACTGTGTAAAGTCTAATTTCTGAAAATGCCCAGTGAAGAAACGCTACTAGTCCATGGATTGCTGAAATGGGTCTTAGTTGGCTACTGTAAAAGTTATTTCATCACGTACTCTAACTAAAGCCACGGTAACTATTGCATCAATTTGCTGCCTTTAGTAGGGCAAATGTCGCCACCCCGTTGTTAGACAAACTCGTTTTATGTATTTAAGTGTGCAGTATTATTATTTCTAGTGCACAATATAAAGATTTCAGTAAAATCCTTTCAATATTAATCTGCAGGTAGCACAGCGACCTCGGCTGGCGAAGTAAAAACATAATTCAATGTGCAGTATTGATCTCCATCCAGAAGAACAGCCGATATGATTACCTTCGAAATAATCTATGATCACTTCGCAAATACTGTACTTCCAAGCTAACCGGTCATATATTAAACCGCAAACACGAAAGAAGACACCTTGCACAATGGACAAACACACACCAAGGGCAAACAGGGCACGGTTATTTCTGCGCGGAGGGGCTCTGTCGTTTCTAAAAATAAAGTTGCAAAATCCGGCCTCTTTATGCAGCAGTAGCTGGTATGCAAAGGCTGTTTTAGTTCTCAGTCGCGGTGGTGGGGACGAGTACAGGGTAATGAAAACCAGACAATTGGGAATGCACATTCTGGGTTTACAGTCTGAAGAGCAGTGTATGAACAGGGCTCTCGCAATTTGACATATTAAGACAATCTATCCTTCCGTTTTCTAACCACTTCATCCAGTTCATGGGAGCCGGAGCCTATCCCTGGCAAACAACAAACGGGAGACGAGATACACTGGATAGGACACCACTTCGTGGCAGGGCACACACAAACACAGACAGGCTCACACCACGGCCAGTTCTCCCAGAATCCGGTTAACCTACAGTACCAGTGTGTATTGAGACAGTGGGAAGAAACAGGAGCAACCAGAGGAAACGCAGGGAGAGCATACAGTCTTCACCCAGGGCCAGAGTTGAACCCAGGGCTGCAAGGCAGCCACGCTGACTAGATTTTCAGTATAGCAGCCGAACTGGAAGAATCCGTCAAGTTAGGGAAGCTGAACCTGTGTGAAAATGACATTGTTGCAGAATGAATACAACCCCTGTTCAGGTCAATGCAAAAACTGGAAACCATTATTTTTTTTCCATCACGATCAAAAGGATAGCAACGTCCTTTTAAGATCATTAGAATTGTACACAATTCCGTGCTGTAAGAAAATCATGTTCTGTTGCTCCTAGATACTGGGCCTTTATACATTGTATTTCCTCTTGCTGAGCATAGCTATTAATGTTCTAAGAAGAAAATTTCAGACGGCAATATCTTTGTAGCAAACTGCCAGTGATAAGTTCTAATAATAGTAATAATAACTGCTTACACTTATATAGTGCTTACTCACAGCGCTTTACAGGTAATGGGGACTCTCCTTCACCACCACCAGTGTGCAGCCCCACCTGGATGATGCGACGGCAGCCATAGTGCACCAGTACGCTCCCCACACACCAACTCTCAGTGTGGAGGAGAAGAGAGTGGTGTAGCCAATTTATAGATGGGGATTTTTGAGAAATGCCCTGGGATTTTTAATGACCGCAGAGTCAGGACCTCGGTTTTACGTCTCATCCGAAGGACGGCGCCTTTTTACAGTTTAGTATCCCCATCACTATACTGGGGCTTTAGGACCCACATGGACCGTAGGGTGGCCCCACTAACACCTCTTCCAACGGCAACCTTAGTGTTTCCCAGGTACTGACCAGACTCACACCTGCTGAGCTTCAGTGGGGCTGCCAGTTGTGAGCTGCAGGGTGATATGGCTGCTGGCCATAATATACTGTAATGTATCCTGTGTATAGTAGTTTGTACGCTGATGGAATAGAATGTGAATTTGGTTGTCTGGTATCTAAGGAAATTACGAATTTAATTTAAGTTACTAATTCGAATTAATTTTCTGCTGGCGTTTGGCCTTCCGCAGGTACTTTGTCAAATTTGCCTGGGGGTGGACCTTGTTTCCCCTGCTGCCCTTCATTGCCATCTCCAACTACTGCTGCACCAGGGACGTGAGCTTCGCGCTGCGGCGGCTGGGCGCGCTCGCCGTGGGGACGGCGGTCTGGTACACGTGCACCCGCGCCTTCCTCTACATCGAGGACCTGACGGGCGCCTGCTACGAGCCGCGGCCCGGGGGGGCCCTGCGCAGCGCCCACGCGTCCAGGCCTGCTTGCCGGGGGGCTGGCCACCACTGGGCCGGCTTCGATATCTCTGGCCACTCCTTCCTGCTGGCCTACTCGGCCCTGCTGATCGGGGAGGAGATGGTTCCCATGGGGCACGTGAGGAGCGGCTGGGCGAGTGTCCCCCGCCTCTGCGGCGTGCTCCTCGGCGTGCTGTACCTCGGCTTGAACGTCCTAGTCGGCGTCTGGGTGCTGATGTTCGCCTGCACGGCGGTGTACTTCCACGACGCGGCCCAGAAGCTCCTGGGAACCGCGGTCGGCCTGCTGGCGTGGTACCTGACGTATAAACTGTGGTATCGGCAGCCATTTTCTCCGCGGCTCCCTCCACAGCCAAGAGAACACAGAGCAGAGTGACACCGAGTCACCAGGGCGGTCAGGGCCTCGCGGGGGTCTTTGTGTAACACTACGCACATCGGAAACGTTGCCTTTTGTTTTCATAACCGGGTCCAGAACAAAACGCCTTTATTTATTTTATGCCGTAGTATTATGCAAATGTATCATGGACAATTGTGGAGATGAGAATATTTGCAGTTTACTGCATTATATAAAAAAAGATAGCTAACTGCCTAAAAAGGGTGAAGAGCACTGTTTTAATACAGTACTGAGCATTGCTCCAGCTGCCTCACAATTACTGGTTTTAACTAAAAATGTATTTTAATGTCATTGGGTCCCATATATCCAGTACTGAAACAGAGGGGTCAGCTATGTTTCCAAATTGGGAGTAGAAAGTTACTTTACTCTTTTGAAAAATACTCTGCATATTAAACCATTGACATTGTATCAGTGTCGAAAGTGGCAGATTGGAGTGTTGTTTTCGGGAGCAGTTGTTTCCCAGCTGTCTAACGTGAGAACGACCTGGGTAAACGTTTTATCTTGCCAACCAAAATAAAGAGTGTTTTGTATTCTTTTATTTTTTAAATGCAGTAGAGGGAGTAAGAGAGGGTAATTTTCCTTGTTCTTGTAAATAGTGGTAGGCTTCTTAAGTATGTAAAGTGCAAATGCCTGTATGAGGCAGTGCTCCAAAATGAAGTGGGAACAAGATTAAATTGTAAAGTGCAGAATGGCAAAAATAAAGTCTGTGCGGTTATCAATTTTTAAAAGTTTGAAATGTGAACTTGTTTTTTTACTTTTCTATCATAATACACATGTGGGAATTGCACCAGTACACTATGTCAACAGGCAGTACAGTATCCAGAATGTCCATGGTTGGAACATACTGTAGGAGAAAACCCATGCAGATGTGTGAACGTTTTACCCTTCCACAGAGATGTTAAATCGCCTCTTGAAACACGTCTAGGTTATGAAATGATGGAAAGCCTGGATATTTGAATTTGATAGCAGATGTGGTGAAAACCTGCAAGTACCAAGTTGCAAATAATATGAATTTATTCTGCTGCCACTTACAGTTCTGTGAAGCAGAGCGCTGAATACCTAAGAATTTAAAACTAGGGTGCTGCAGTCGGCTCCAATTTATTTAAAGCCTTGATACAATGTTGCTGATAGCTGGTTTGAAAAGTGTGGATGTGATATCTGTTCCAAAAGTATACAGAAGCTTTCTAAAATAATTGCAGATGTATTTCTAAATATATATTCCATGTTATACATGGAGAATATCTCTGGCTTCTGATACTATGTCTCCTGCTTTCTTTAGTTCACACCCTAAAATGTCCTATTAGATTGAGGTGTGGAGAGTGACATGGACAAACAATAACAGTGATTTTATGCTCTTTTAACCATTTGACAGTAGAATTGAAGGTGTGCTTGAGACTGTTAACCTTATGCAAAGTCTTTGCAGGCTAAGCTTAAGCTTCTTAAGCAGGGAACCGGGATTCTGGATAAAAGATCTCAGTAGACTTCGGTATCCATCCATCTTTCAATATTGAAAAGAGAACCGGGCTTACAGGTGCAGCAGGAGAACTGTTATGCCTCCATACTTTACAGAAAGGATGAAGAAAGGGCTTTTTTTAACATGAACCTTACCTTTCTGTGTAAATTGTTCCACCCCGAGGCTGCCGAAAAACTCAATTCCTATTTCATCCAGCAACAATTATTTGGTCCTATTTGCCTTAGGTTCTGAGCCAATAAGTTGCATTTGTAGATTCAAACGTTTTCTTTTTATGTCGCCATGGAAATCTGTTGCACACACCAAAGGTCAACTACGAAAGGTAGTCCTAGAGATATTGTATCCTAATTATACCAGTTTTGTTGTGAACAATTTTCTATTCCCAGACAAACCATCCTTATATTTATATTTTCTTACCACTTTGCCAGCAGTGGGCGCAAGGCAGGATCCATTCCGCCAGTCCATTGCAGGGTAAGCACCAGGGCCGATTTCCCCCAAGAGCCAATTGAATGACCATCACGTCTTTGGACTGTGGGAGGAAACTGGAGCACCCAGAGGAAACGCACATGAACATTTGGAGAATGTACAAACTCCACACAGATAGCACCCAGGGCTAAAAACACGTAATTAAGTACAATTCCAAAACAACAATATCCATTTCTCATTCCACCTGATCTCCCTCATTATCTCAGGACTTCTGAAAGATTTCGGTGATTTTTTAAAGTTCCCAATAGCTGTCCATGAGTGTGAGCCAGGCTCACAAACCGCTTTTCAGCAGTTCGGTCAAACTAATTAAGGCAGACAAGGCATAGTGAGGATAATTGGGGTGACTCACCTGGATGAGGAGAAAGACAGTCCAGCTGTAAGGATGGAGGTGCTGGTCCCCCCCCCCAAAATGAGGGATAAACCAGCAAGATGATACAAGCATGAAGCCTGCGAACGAGTAAAAGCAAGAAGTATGATGTTTTTACATACTGTAGGCAGGTAGAAGTGAGTAAGATCAGGGCTTGACCTCCACCTGAACCTTTGTTTAAAACTCCATTTCCCATCAAGCTTCAGTAAAACATTCATACTTCCTCTTCTTTATGGGAGAGCAACCACCCATTACTCTTGAGTGTCCGGATGATGGGGACACCTTAGTCAAAACTAGGATATCTTATGGCTATGGATCTCATATTTGTAATTGTCACAAGTGTCACAGAGATTGATAATCATCTATGTCAGATCTCTGAACAATCCTTTGACTCCCCCTGTGATGTTGTCTTTCTGAGTGTTTTGCATCTTTGTTCAACTTCCTGGAATACCCCATGGTAATGGGGTATTCCAGAACAAAACACCTTTATTTATTTTATGCCGTAGTATTATGCAAATGTAACTATCCAGTATTGATAGCCTTACAAATGATCATATGTCCAATTATGTATGCAATCAATACTGCACATACAGTTGTATTTCTATTTAAAACCAATAAATGGAAATTTCAGTTCAGTCTCTTTGAATCAAGGGCAAGAATACATTTGGAGCCAAATGTATGCTATGTACTGTAAGTACGAAGTCAAAATGGAAATGGGAGTTGTTTTGATTTAAATGGTAATATATTATACTGTCATATTGTATTGATCACTACACTTGGCAAACTGTGTAATATGTAAGGTTCAGTAACACTCAAGATATTACTGCTCCTTCTAACTCTTTGTTCAGTGATTTTGACCATCTGGACACAAAAATCAGATGGAAGGTTTAGAAGCTGAACTGCAAGGGAACCTGTTTCATCGAAAGATCATTCCCCTCTGAATAGAAGAGCTTTGATTAATATTTTATATTTTGCTTTGGATTCAAGATGAGATGCAGCTTCTCATCACAGATATCACAATGTTAGGAAGCAGATTTTATCATTTGTTTTGAAGAATGAACTTCTAATATGGAAAAAAAAAAGATCTGTTCCCATCCACCATGTAAAGTAAAATAGAAGAAACTGTTTGGAAGAAACAAATCCAGATAAAAATCAGTGTAACCACCCAGTTTCAGTAAAACACAATGTTTTAATTCTAGTTTAAAATCCATAGATGATCCAACTTTCTGAATTGTCAGAAGTTTCTGAATCTTCTGTTGAAAATAACTGGGAAACTCAAGTTACATTCCTACAGGAGAGTTTCTCTTCTGAGCTGTAAAATTTAAATCTAAGATTACTGTAGGTTCAATAGTATCCATGACATCAATAGACAATCACACTGCTTTTTGCCAAGGAAAAAATAACAAGGAATTGGACCTAACATATTAAATGTATAAGTCACATCAATAGCTACAATACAATCTAAAAGAACTTGTACACATGGCGATTCCTCCTTTCTGGCTTCACTAGCTGAAAACAACAAGAACAGATCATCCCAATCAATGTGAGGATTTTTTAAAATCTTAGCCATGGCTTTTCACGAACATGTCTCAGTTGGATCGTTTGTCCCCGCATGACTTGTGATAAACCTAGCATTCCTTTAAGATGATGATCCATCATCAATGACCCGGTACCGGGTGGGGTAAATCAAGTCACAGTAATGTTGGTTAGAATGCTGCAGAGGTTTAATCTCAGAATTTTGCAAAGGAAATGTTCCTGAATGAGCACATGCAGAAGGCGTTAGGTGTGACCCAAAACGACAGATCTTCATCCAGCTGTGCAACAACACATGATGAAGGGCTTAGTGTTCGTTTGGGCACAAGGCCATTGAAAATACAGTTTTCAGCAAAGATGATGCCTAATCCTTGGCACATGCCAGTTAAAAGTTGTAGCACAGTGAAACGGAGATTTCTGCTGCCTGCCACAAACTCCCTATTCCAGATGATTCCAGGGATGTGACTTGACGTTTTTGTCGGACTCAAAAAATAATGGCTATAATCCATACTTTCTCCTGCAGTGTTAAAAAAAACCCTGGTTGTCTCTTTCCTGAACCCATCACATTGCGAAAATAAGCAGACACTGTACTGGCATTCAACCAAGTGACCAAGTCAGCACTAAAAAAATATTTCTTACTTGTGTATGTTACCTTTAGTTGTATGCTCAGTATGCTTTTTTATTTTTGCTTTCTGCTCTATTCCTTTTCAAAAGATGAGTATGACAAGGTAAAGAACATATGATGGTGAAGAACTGGTAAAGAAGGCAACACCTGATGACTGGGCCATAGAAGATTTTACTCATGCCCACTGTCCTTCTCGGCACTTCTTATACACGAGTAACAAAGTTCACCTGGAACCTAGTGTCGTTCCACTCCACTAAAATAACTGCAACACTTTCAGGAGAATCTGTTCTACAGGCTAGTTGACGAGTTAGAGGAACAGAAGTACTGAGAGATCACCCCTGGGGTTTATTTCACACTGAGACCATGATAGGGTTTCATCTGACCACACTGCCTATTTAGATTTTTAATTTCAAGACTGCACCAAGGCTTTAATACCTGTCTGTACAATTAATAATCATTCACTGCAATGACTACAGTGCTTCCCAAGTTTGCAATGTGCTGCACAAGGCCTGCTGCTTAATTTGTTTTAGATCCTCCCAAGAACACAAATCATCATTTCTGAGTAATAAGTCACATTAGTCAGCTTATAGAACAGTGTCTCCCCCAAGATACTGCTCCCAAAGACAAAAGCACTATACCTGAAGGACTGTACTTCCATAAATGATTTGTATAAACAAAAGGAAAAGAATACAAAACGTGTAAACTGTTCATGGTTTTACATTCTGTACCAGGACATGTCAAATTGTACAATTGGTACCTACAGTGTAAGACTTTTGCATGTCCTTGTTGATTTAAAGAACCTTACCTATCTCACAGTGCTCAGCCAAGTGCGTCATTACAATATGTCACCTGGCAAAAATAGACCAAATGTGAAACAAGAAACCCAACACGACTCAGATTCTAGTTAACAGACCTCAATGGAAAACCTGAGTGAACCATATTATTTTCAAGGAGAGGGATTTGTCAGGGAAAGTCGCTTGTGCCTAAAAAAATAAACAAAATCAAGGAGGGATTAAACCTGCATTGAGTGATATGTTCTGTGAGGCCCACTTTGGAACACCCAAAAACCGGCTAAAAACACCCTTCCTTTCAATTCCAAACTCGGACTTAATTTATCCCACGCCCCCCACCTAAGAACCACAGAGAACTAAAGAGAAACGTGGCTAACTCACTGCATTTCCCAAGAAACCACAAAATTAGTGTCTGAATCTCAAATACACAGGTTTGTCACAACAACCGAAGGCATTAATCATCAGAAAAGCATGTGCTGTAGAGAATTCCGTGTAATGGAATATACCTTTTTTTTTGTCGTTGATGTGTTTCTTATCCCAGATAAATATGACTATTATTTATTTACGTTTTTTTTATTTTTTGTCGCCGTCGCCAGACATCGTTACAGTTATTAGGCTTGAGACGTCACACAAGTACACAGACTCTAAACACAACAGGAAGCGTTTACTACATGTATTTCTTTTTTAAATACCAATAGGCAAAATATCCCATTCCGCCCAGGGAGCCCATGAGGAAGGAAGCCCCGAAGAAGGAAGGGGGCTTTCTCTTCACCATTCGGAAAGCGTTGGGCAGCACGGCCGACAGCAGGGTGGTGTGGATGTCTCCCAGGACCTTGCGGAAAGCGTAGCGTTTCTGCACGCGCTCAAAGAAAGACTGGAGATTGGGCCGGCTCCCATCCTCCCAGTATTTCTTTGAAAGTCCCAGGAATTTGAGGCGGTGCAGTGTGGAACCCAGTGAGATATCGGCGAGGGTAAAATGTGGCCCACAGAGCCACAGCTCACACTTTTGACCTGCGGGGGAAAATGAAGCACATTGCTCTTATCTGTCTCCCCACATTCCTAAGCGTGTTCTCAGTTGTGTCGTATCAGGCCAGTTAAGATTCCACACCTGAGGAGCAATGTAAAGAAGACGAGCAGGAAAGCGAAAAGAGGGATAAGGGACATTATACAGTATCAGGATATCAGGTGGTCAGACTGACAGTGTCTTCGTTTACTTCAACAAAGTGACAGACAGACACACGTCCCTGAAGTCCCACAAGGAATCCTGTGTGATTCTCTGACACATGTGAAGAACACATCGGTGAGGCGCACACTTTTCCCCTCTTAGCAAACTCATACAGAGATGAGTTTCCTTATTAGATAAAGACATTAGGACACTAAAAGACAACAAAGATGGACACCTGGACATAAAATAACCACTGTTATCCGATGCTTTTGCTGATGTTATTATATAAAGCAATTTACAGGTGTTTCAGGTACCTATTTTCTGTGCATACAAATATTAATGCTAATTTTAACAGCTGGGTTCGCTGGAGCATTGTGGGTAAGGTACCTTGCTCATTGAGCCAGTAGCAGTATCCCCACCTGGGATTTTAATCCTCGACTCTAACCCCTACTCCACAGCAGGGACAGAGAAGTACAGACAGACATGAAGCCAGACACAGGCAGTTGAAAAACTACAATAACAAACACTTCAATTAGTAACCAACCTTGATATTCTAGTTTCCTCTTCTCCAGTTCGGCTTCTACTTGATCAAGCACCATGGCGAGCTCACTGAGGATTTTCTTCAGGTAGTTCACGTTGTCATGGTCAAGAATCTTAGCCTAGACACAAAGACAGGAATAAGCGGCAGCCCTGCAATTGCACCTATCACTCCTAGATACTGTCATGCCAGCTGTCAGTGAAAATGCTTGTTTGTTTGAGCTAACAATTCATTTTAAGAAAGGCAGGGAAGTAATGCAAAATTCAGCCTTGTACAATGTCTGCTGTTGTAGAGAAAAGCTTTCCTTTCATGATCAATCTAGTTTTTAATTTCTAATCTTTAATGTCTGCATCAGAGTTCAAAGAAAATAAAGTCCCGAGGGTCTACAGTATATTTTGTGTTTTCAAGAACTTTCACCAGCCTGTAGTAATAAAAACACAATTCTGACCCTTTTTGTGGTCAAGACAGTGAAACGTCTACCACAATTAATTACTGATGCCTTGTATCTCTCTTTCCTCTAAAGAATCTCTTTATAGTTACTGTGCAGTATGGTCATATTCAATCCAGCAGCCTGTGATCATATAAGACACTGATTGTTCTGGCTTTTCCTAAGAGCCAACAGTTGCTGCACATTTAAGAAGTGCTGCCTTACACACTGCAAAACCCATCAAAATGTCCCCTTTTCGCAGCTCTTATAGAGCAAATTGATTTTTTTATAACAGAATTCAATTAACTTCCAATGGATAACAAATTCCATCTTAATTAGAGCACAAAAAGGAGTGCTTTGAATTTAAAAGGAAAAGGTGTTTGAATTTATGAGACTCTCCAAATTGCACAGAAGCAACAAGAGTTTTCCTCAAACTTAATAGCTTGAATTATGTGGGTACAACTGGATGGGCATCTGTGTATTGGTGCCTGCTGCTGCTGTGAAGACTCTACCACATGTCTACAATGGAGGATGAACCATTCCCTTACCATGAGTTTTTTTTGCTTGGATAGATATGGCTCTGTCAACTGAGGCTCCTCGTGGTCCAGCTTCATCAGTTCTGAGGCAGCGTTGGCCAGGTGTCCTGAGCAGAGACAGGGAAACCACTGTGACAAGGATCATGCCCACCTGTTCCTCAGAACACCTGGCTTGCCCTTTCAGAAGCCCCCCTCCTTCCCTGCGGGGGGCTTTGATCAAATAAGACAATAATAATAATAATAATAATTAATAATAATTGCTTACACTTATATAGCGCTTTTATGGACACCCCACTCAAAGCACTTTACAGGTAATGAGGATCGCTTCCACCACCACCAGTGTGCAGCCCCACCTGGATGATGCGACGGAAGCCATAGTGCTCCAGAACGCTCACCAAACATCAGCTATGAGTGGGCTGCAGAGCAGAGTAATGAAGCCAATTCATAGAGGGGGATTATTAGGAAGCCATAATTGGTGAGGGCCAATGGGAAATTTGGCCAGGATGCCGGGGTAACACCCCTACTCTTTTCGAGAAATGCCCTGGGATTGTTAATGACCACAGAGAGTCAGGACCTTGGTTTTATGTCTCATCTGAAGGACGGCGCCTGTTTACAGTACAGTGTCCCCGTCACTATACTGGGGCATTAAGACCCCCGGCTGGCCCCTCTCACCTCTAAAGCCATTTCTCCTGTCAGCAAGCCCTGAAAAAGTCATGGACAGAGAAAGAGGACCTGAGTGTAACAATGAGAGAAATAAGTGTGGAGGCACATCTGCTGTAAATGAAGAGCTTTGGAAATGATGAAAAATATATTAGATACACAGAGCACTTGAAGGCAGTTGCAGAGAAATCTGAATTGCACTGGCAGAGCATAATTAGGCTTTTTTGGAGCTTTATTATTATTTAATTTGTTATCGTCCAGAGCTACTGTAAGTCCCTGGGAAATGCAAAAGACTTGGCCAGGATCACACTGAAACTGAATTGATCAAGAAACCTGGGTTTCCTGATCATTTCTTTCTATGGAAATTGATAAAATTTGTTTAAGGAACACCTCAATTAGACACACCAAGTAGATTTTGCCATGAAGTTACAAAACATACTGCCAACTTTGCATTCTCCTGGCAGAGAAAATTGAAGAAGAAACCATTGCACAGCATTTTTCTGAGGCTGAGCACAAGTAATACATTTTGTATTTTGCACAAGTGCTTGATGCCAGTGAGTGGGTTGTGGGCTCGGTCGACAATTCTGAAGTTGTATACTTCTGAGAGATTTTTGCTTTAATCCAGTTTATGCTGCATTTGTCGTTGATCAATTAGAAAAAAATGAAATTAGTATGTAACTCAGTCTCTAGCACCAAATAAATTCTAAACAAATAAATAAAAAAGAGACAAGCATATATTATGTAGTATCACATCTTGTCTCGGTGCCTGCTGTCAGACATCTAACTGCAGTAAACAATGGCAGGATTTGGGCATGAGAAGGATATAGAATAATTCATTTAATAAGGAAACAACCTCCATGCACTTAACGTCATGATTTGGTACTGTCTGGTAGGTCAAATACATGTACAGTAGTGTGTCACTGTGTTATCCTTCGGCAGAGGAGGGTGCATTACGATATACTACTTGCCTTCACGATACGATATAGCAGATCCACTGCTGTGAGAACTGTTTTAACTGCTTCTTCCAGTGCAGGGTTGTGGGGCAGCCAGACACAAACACACTTACACCTACAGTAGGACTCATTTTCCCAGAAACCAATTAACCTACCAGTATGTCTCTGGCCTGTGGGAGAACATGGGGTGGACATATAAACTCCACACAGCAGCCCGGGTCCAGACTTGAACCCAGGGTTCTGCACAGTGAGGCAGCAATGCTACTCACTGCGCCATGGTGCAGCCCTAGTCTTTAAAAACTGCCAGACTTCACATGTAGCTCACAACTACTTTTAGCAGAAAGCCCAGATAGGCAAACGAGTTAACCACAGTAGAGAATTGAACATGTACATGAGAAAGTGTCATTGCGAGTCACTATGGTCTCCGAAATATGATATGCCACTGGAAAAATAAATTAAAGTAAAAAATGTGTTCCTGTCTTATTTTTCATACAATATTATATTTCATCTAGAGTATTCATAGTGGTCGCTGGGAATTCAAAGTAAATGACCCGTCAAAGGTAGCTAAATACAACCTAAACATGATTAGTTGAAGGATTTTACCCCCACAATTCCTTGTTTGAGCAGGTTTGGATGTCCAATTGCCATTTATTCTTTTGCACTTTCAAAGCAATGAACTGGTGCCAAAAATGCCACTGTTTTCTGAATAGCGTATAGTGCATAAACATAAATTTTCCATTTTGGGAAAAAAAGGACAACCCTGAGCCACCACAAAAGACTCCGTCGTAAACGACATGCCTTGCGTGCACATTGTGATCGCGCTGCCTACCCAGCCTGCTGACAAGTTTGCAGACTGCTATGGAGTTGTCATAGGAACACAAGACGTGTTGCAACTGAGAGAAGGCCAATGCAGAAGCTCTTCCAGCTGCTGAAATGCACCAGGGTGTGGGCTGCACAGCTTGGCAGGAAAATCCAGACCAACGAGTGTAAAGAACTGGAAGTAGGTGAATTTTGAAAAACTCCCCGAGATTCCTTTGTGACTGGGAATTGACGAGGTCACTCTTCTTTGAGCTTTGGGCCCGGGCGGCAGTGCCTGTTTTCCCACAGGTCGGTCAACACTGAATAGATGCTTCGCAATCGGAAGGCACTGAAGTCTGCAAACTGGCATCACTTACGACGTATTTCAGCAGTGGCGTACTTTGGGATCATGGAGTCGGTGGTCAGCTCTGGGTGCAGGATGCAGCCGTGCGTGTAAGCGTCCATGGGCAGTGTGTCCAGGAGCTCGCGGTACTGCAAGACTCGGGCATTGAGAGGAGATCCAGGCTCGGGGATCAGCTGGGGGACGTTCTCTGAAACCGAAAACAGACACACATACAGTCACGGGATGCACGACAACGTAATTTCTACTTCAGAACAAATACACTGTTTATTTAAAAGATCAAGCTAGTCTAAATAGTTCTTGTGGTTTTACTTCTTAAATTGATTGTATGTAGTATCTGCACCTTCATCAGCATGAAACCAGATGGTGATGTCCAGCACTGCCACTGGGGGATCACAGCTACTGGCACTTCCCAGGCTGAAGCTGGAGATGTCTGGGCTACAGGCTTCAGACTGCGCTCTGTAAGCGGTCCTCTGCAGCTTGAGCCATTCAGGAGTCCCTCACTTGTTCCTCTTTTACACCTGTAACCCACACCTCACTTCATGGCAATTGAAGCTGCTCGGCTTGGCGGTGTGTGCAGGGGAGACTACAAAAAATGACTTCCTATTTCTCTTCACTGCTGTGGCAATGATGGGGTATTTTCTGGTGGCTCACCTAGTAGACTCCTGCCTGCTGTAACCCACACCATCTCTCACTCAACAATAGTGGCCATATCTGTGCCACAGAACAAGCTCCAGCAGTAGAGAGATGTCCGACCGTCTGCACAGACACCCTTGTCTAAATGCATAGCAGCAGCTCGTGAGAGACTAGTCAACTTAGAGGGTGCAACGATGTGAACTGTGGCTGGCAACTGCCTGGCACTTCAACTTCACTGTGTTAAAAGACACCATTTCCCGGACAGTCGTCCGTGAACGATTCACTGCTTATATTCTCATCCACTCCTTTTAGAATATATTCACTTACACTCTTGGAGGAGCTTACTAGTATATAGAATAAGAGAGCATTTACTTCCTTTATACCTAAAATCATTCAATTATTGAACAATGAAAAAAAAAGTGTTTGCAGGCAGGGATCTTCATATTATTGATTTAGACTCTTTACAAGCACATTGTTTTTATTAATCATATGGCCCTGGAAGAGTTCTGATTGAGTGATGTTGTTGAATGTTGTTTTGTATTATGGTAGTGTACCGTGGTTTGTATTGTATTGTTGTCGTACATGTTATATGTTTATGAGCTCTTGAAGTGCAAGACAAATTCCCTTAGGGGCAATAAACGTTAATTCAATTCAATAATTCAATTGTCTTCAGAAGTCGAATGGCAAGGGGGGTATTATGGTGATGTAGGCTGACAAATAATAAGCAGATCTGATTCTGGCAGACAAAAGGTGATGAGTCAGAAATAAAGCATTTAAAACAAAAACGAAAAAAATAACATGTTTTGCCTGTTAAAGCTCTTAGCTGCTTGACTCAATAAAATAATAAGTGAGATAATTATGTAAGTTAAAAAAATAAATTAGTAGAAATTAGAATTCTTCCTTGAGGTCCGCTTTTCAGTAGTATTTAATGGTTAACTAATATCAAGTAATCTGGGTTGTGTACCTTAGTAAAACAATTTGTATGTAAAAATAATTGTGTAAGTCAATTTGGATAAAAGTTTCTGACTTCTGAAGCGATAATGAATTCATAATAAAGTTGTTTACCAGCTAGAATCAACACTTAATCAACACACTCTACACATGCTGGCATATATGGTGTTGCACCCATATGGCTGATTTGTGATTAAAAAACAGTGGACATTTCTCATACACTTTACTTTTTTTAAACATTGTGAAGCTATAAGATAAATGTTTCAGAAACTAAAAAATAATTTGAGGTGTGCTGCAAAATGACTTGCAGTATGAGTCACATCCCAAAACCGACTCTGGTCTTCTGCCTTCCTCCAGCTTCCACAAGTGATCTGTGTTTCTGGCAGGAAGGCCCTCATACATCTTCATTCACCTCCAGCGGAATACCAGAGTCACAGGTGGACACCTACTTCCTTAGGAACCAGGTGTTTTCAGATTGACAAACCTCCAGATTTTCAAATGTACCAGCTCCACAAGATCGATAGTCTGTAGGTCCTGACACCTGCAGAATGATATCTGAAGTAGGGTTTTGGAAATTGCATTTCTAAATATTTTCCAAATAAAAGAAACCAACATAATATGCATTATGTGCTCAAAAAAACTCAGACCCTCTTCATAATAAATGAAACCTTGCAGATCTGACCAAATCTACTGAAGACAGAAGTTAGATCTTTAAGTAGAGATCTTTAGCTCCTTTTATCATCACTTAATGCTAATGGATGCAATTCAGGTATTTCCCAGCCGTATTAGAAATGCAGTTAGGATCCTATAAGTAGATAATGCACAGTCAGTTGAGCAAGCTGACTTCAGTCAGCAGGGATTGCATTTAAGTGTAGTCCCCTGGGTTCAGGTCCATATGACTTTACAGCTTTGAAAATCATGAGCACAAAATAATATGAAGATTTTTTGTATATATAAATGAAAGACCTTTTTCTGAGATTTGAACGAAGATGGTGACTTTTGGACGATATCCCTAGCCAAGAGTCTAGTTAAAAATTGCTAGGCATCAAGGAGGACACTATTATACTCAATGGAAATGGATTATTGTTCATCCCTGGGTGAAACACATTACATTTCCGTAGTGCCAAATGATTCATTCATCCAACGATTATCAAGACACTGCTTACTCCTGATTTGGGTCTCAGCAAACAAGAGTCTATCAGAAGCACTGGGTGCAAACAGGATTAAACCTGGAAGAGACGCTTGGTTTTGGCGTCTCAGTTGAAAGACACAAAAAGGAACACACATAAGCACGGAGACAACAATTATCCCAGCGAGCACAGTCTTTGTAAGGTAGGAGGAAACATGATAATCGGGCAGCACACAAAACCCACAGAGACCATGCAAACTCCACACAGAAGGCTCCCCAATCTGGAACTGAACCCTGGACACTAGAGCTGTGAAGCAGCAGTTGACTTTTATGAAACCATGTTGGCCTACAATGATGTTCAGCTGACTCTTATGAAAATATTTTGTTTTGTATTCCTTCACAACCGTTGGTTTTCAAGGGTGTTCAGAAATCACAGTGATTAGAACACTACCAAATATTAGCAGCAGTTTATCAATGCCAGCTCTCTGATCTGCTGTGTCAGCTCTCTCTAATCTTACCGATTACAAGTTATTATCCATTCTTAATTTGCTCACTGATGGATTGATGAGGTGTAATAATTAAGACGCAGTCAGCGCTAAGATGGATGGTGAAGACAGACATCATGAAAATGCATTATTCAAAGCTGACAAAAGGACGTGACTTCTTCTAAATGTCTACAGTAAAAATAGTCCTTCGTGGTCCTCTCCAGAAGCATTGATGACTTTACAAAAGTTACTGAACTTTTCTCTTGTTTCTATACCCTCCCAGTGTGGAAGTACTATCTGTGAATTAAACTGTGTTATTCCTACAACCTCTGTACCAAGATTGAGGGATCAACGCACATAGAAGCATCTTCCTAGCAGGAGACTCCACCTGGACTAAGGAGCAATACTGCTCTCACAGCCAGCTCTGCCACGTGTGACTGATGGCTCACAGGGGTCTCTGGCTTGGGGCAGAGCCAGTATCTATCCTCTTGCACTCCCAGGGGTCTCCAGTCAAGTGTGCACCCAGTAACACTCAGAACACTGGTGTCTCTGGACTGCAGACAGGAGCTACAGACAAGGGCCTCTACTCGTTGAGCCATTTGGGACCACTTAGTACATTTCCTTTGGAATTAGTAATAATTTTTTATTACGTACCCACTCAATTTGTTTAATAGTTGGCTCTCAAGCTATGAGTCCTGTAACTGCGGTCAGAACACAAGACTGGATGCGAATGAGAAGAGACCATTCAGCCCGTCTAGAATGTCTGGTAATTAACAGCTACAGTAATTAATTAAGGCTAACAGCCTCCTGTTCTTGGCTGGAAACACATTTCACAGAGCTTCCACCTGTGTCCCGTGTCCCGTGTTCAGTGTTTCACATCTCATTCAGAACGCAAACTTGTTCACCGACCTACCAGAACTATTCGTCTTGGATGGTTGAGTATGAGGATCTGGAGGAGAGGTGCGTCTCTCCCTGTGGGCAACCAGCAAGTCACAAGTGTTGCAGTTGTCCTAAAAGTCCAGAACATACAAGCCACGTGGCACCCATCCCATCATACTGTATTTCAGCACCTCAGCCAACTGTGTACTTTTATTTGGGAATCTCTGTCAGCCTATGTTATGACCCTGGCTTAACTCACCAATATCCAGGCCACTGAGAGTTCACGCCGTGCTCAGAGTGAACAATTTTCCTGTATGAGATACTCAGGAGCTAATTTTGTAATGTTCAATATTTTATCCCATGACGCAAGAACCTACTAACGTGGGCCAGAATAAAAATCAGGAATGAAGCAACTGGAAACCCCATCTAACACACACTGTATATCTGGGCTTACCCCTTGCTGGCATTTTTATTTCAGATCTGCATAAAATACTATATCACGTCAATGGGCTTTTCTTTAAAATCCATCCATCCATTTTCTAACCACTGTATCCACTACAGGATCGCAGGAGAGCCGGAGTCTCTCCTGCGATCTCCGGCAAGCAATGGACGCAAGGCAGGGCACTTCCTGGACGGGACACCTGTCCATCAGGGGAAAGAAACAGATGCAAACACATACACTCACACAGGGCCAATTTGTTTCAGAAGCCAATTAGCCTACCTATGTCTTTGGACTGTGGGAGGATCCTGGAACATCTGGAGGAATCCCACGTCAACATGGGGAGAACATACAAACTCCACACAGATAACAGCCTGGGACCCCAGCACCATGAGGCAGCAGTGCAAACCCTTATATCTCAATCTTGCGCTCAAAAAATCCCTACCAATTGAATTTATCAGTAGACCGTAAATAAGAGTATTACAGTTCTTGGGTCTCTTATATAAAGAATACCTCTTGTGTAGTATATGGGGCTGGCAATGACTAGCACAAAAGCATGTGGATTCATAACAGACAGGTTAAGGGTTCGAGTCCTTGCTGCAGACACTACTCTACTACCTTGAGCGAGGTACAAGGATCAGAGTTGCTGGGGGCAGTCCATGGACTGGTGGTGGACTGGTGTCCCATCTGGGGTGAGATCACATGCTTTCATTATGCTTAAAGCTTACCAGACAACCTGGATGAGCTCTGTTCCAGTGAGCCACTGTGATCTGGTACTGACTTTGTCCTCACCTTTGCCTACATAACGTAATATCTGAAAGACTGCAAATATGCCTAAATTATCAGTGATCCTGGGTTTCCCATTCAATCCATTTAATGTAAGAAACAAAATGAAATGTTAATCAACTGGGGTTGATTACAATAAATAGTTATTCTCCCCATGCAATGGCCACACCAATAACAATTATTAGAGTTGACAAAACAATTACCTTTAAAGGTAATATGCGTGCTTAATATGCACAAGCATTTTAAAATCCAGCTCAGAGTAAAATTCTTTTGTGCCTGCAGGCACAATGATTTTGTAATCTTGGTAAAGAGAATAACTTCAGAAACCCTTAATCCCCAAATACTTTGTTTAATATACTGGATGTTCAAATCAAATTGGGACAGAAACAAGCCTTTGACCATGTTTTCCGTATCGCTTAAAACATCAAATCTGGAAATCTGAAGCTAACCTCTACTGAAATCGGAACAATTCAAAGTTTGGCTGTTACTACAAATTGCCCTTTTCAGCTGGGCTTAGTTCACCTGAAATGACTACAGAACAGTAACAAAGGACAGGAATACTAAGGCATGCTTAAGCTACAAACCAAAACCTCTGAGGTCTTCTATAATAGAATACATAGTGTGCCAACACAACAGCAGGCTTGTGATATCACCGTGTAATTTTGTTGACTGTCGACTTTATTAAGCCTCTTGGTGTCAAGGACATCTTTCAATGTCTTAAACATTAGGGTTTTTAAGTTGAAAATAATCATTGCAAAGACTCCTAATTCAAGGTAATTTCTTGGTATATTACTGTCCTTTAGAGTGTAGATGGTCAGGGGATACATAGAGAGCTGTCTCATTTCTTTTCCTCACTCACATATAACAAAAAGAAATGAAAGGGGCATTTGAATATCTAGGAACACATAAAAGTCAATTGTGAATAGTTCTAATAGTTGAAATGAGATCTGCGTTACCTTGCCCAGTCATGAAGTTCTAGTTTGTATTGCAAAGCTGTTAAAGCAGAGCTACCTCTCTCCAGTCAGTTCTTGTCATGAGTTACTTCTTCTACAAGAGGTTCATTAGGCCTGGAAGTGTGTTGGAACATTTTAAGTAAAAAAAGATCAACGTTTCCCCCTATATTTTAGTTTTATGAACAATATCTGCTACACAACACGAATGATTATCTGTAAGGAAAATGAAATTAATAAATAATAATGAACAAAGTCAAATTCAGCACAAGCATTACATTTAAAATAAAAAAAACAATACTTAAGTGTGAAAATACATCAACAGTTCCTTCTCTGATTCTGCAAAATTGCTATTCAGGAAAGATACTTTTCCAAGTCGACCACATTAAGGCCTGTAAATTACTGATCACTCTTGCCAAGCATAAAACAGTGGTGCTGAAGAACAGATTGCATATACTCATACAAAATGCAGAGAGAGAAAAAAAAGAAACGGTAAGACTTTGTTATTTTGAATTTAAATACCTCCCACAAAGTTTTTCTCTAAGTAATCAATAATCTGGTTGTAGTCACTGACAATGGTGTCGCCGTGGATCAAGACGGGCACCTCCTCGCCCAGGTTGAGCCGCATGAACCAGGGCTCCTTGTGCTCGGTCAGGGGCAGGCTCACGTCGCGCTCGTCACACAACAAGCCCTTCTCGTTGATCACCAGACGCACCTGGGGCACAGGGACAAGAGCAGAGTCAACCCGGAGGCCAGAGCACAGACCCCGTAGCGCCCAGAAACCCAGAATCACCACACCTGAACTCCTCGAAACCACTTCCTTTTGCCTTGTTTACAAATACGCTTCTGATGGGATTAGAATTAGCCCCCGCTGTCTTGAAGACAGTCATCATCTACTCCTTCCAGTTACCAGAAGCTCTGCATCCCGGTTGTCTACTTTTATACAAAGTGCTATGCAACACGATGCAAACATTGTATAGAGGAGAGGACAACTGCAAAGGCAGAGCAGAAAGAGGTTCAGTGCTTCTCTCATGGTGATGCAGTGAGTCAAGACGAAGGCATAGAAGGGGAAATTGTACAGTGGCGTGGGCATTAATCATGTCAAAAGAAATTTTTTAATCTACTTTTATCCGAGGAGCAGTCACAGTGGCTATCACCCTTTTGTTCTAGCTGGAGTAGAGGGAAGATACTCTTTATTGACCATATACAATTTCTTGCATTAGGAGTTTGTCTTTTCACATACCCCAGCTTGCTCTCCATTAGACACACAGACAAGGGGGGAGACGCTTGGGGTCAGAGCGCAGGGTCAGCCATTTAGACCAGCGCCCCTGGAGCTGTTGGGGGTTAAGGGCCTTGCTCAGGGGCCCAACGGAGTAGGATTCCTCTGCCGGCTGCGGGATACGATCTGGCAACCTTCCAGCCACAGGCGCAGATCCTTAGCCACAGAGCCACTGCACCGCCCAAGAGCACAAAGAAGCACGAAGGAGATCAGGTGATGACTTGGAAACGATACTGCTGGACACCTTCTACACTTTTTGGTTGAGATGAGATGCTGATGGACGATGGCAGATGAGAGCCAGCACTGGAAGGTGGTCAGGGACTGGGCAGTTCTGATTTCTGTACTGTTACAATTCAGCTCCAGCAGGATACAAGTACACAATAGCCCGAAACGTACTAACAAAGTCAACTCAGCAGATTACCCCAGAAAACATGAGCACAAAGGAGAGTAATCAGGATTAGGAACAGGAGACACTTTTTTTACATATAAGGAGCTGGGTACGTGGAATAAGATGCCAAGCCATATTGAAGTAGGGTCCTGGGAATCTTCATGAAAAGGTGGGTAAACCTCGGTAAATGGCCTCCTTTATTTGTATCCTTCACATGTACTTTGTTGCCAACAGAAAACAGGTGTGTTGAAAAACCTATAATTGTATTTAAACCTTCTTTGAAACTGTGGCCATCCGAATTAAGGCAGGCAGAATACAAGGTTACAATTTCATGTGAGGTGAGCAGGTGCCCTCAGAAGCCGACCTCATTTAAAAACACACCACTGCAGTCGAGTATCAGATTATGGATTATTAAGTCATTAAAAATTGAATTGACAGTTCCTATGAGCAGCAGGGTTTTCCACAAGAACTAAATAATTAACCCGCAACAAAAAGATCACATATTTCTGACCTACTTAAGGTTCATGTTACAGACCATCCTAAAATGTAGTCCAAACTGATAAAGTTCGTACACTGCAGGAAGATTTCAAGAGCAATTTGAACTAGAATTTCCTCTTGTATCTATAAGGATTACCTACTACACCTCTACATCCATCCATTTTCAAACTGCTGTATCCAATACAAGCTCCCAAGACAACCAGAGCCTAACTCAGCAACTCAGGGGTACAAGGCAGAATGTAACTTCCCAGTATGTCTTTGGACTGTGGGAGAAAACTGGAGCACCTGAAGGAAACCCACCCAAACAAAGTCGTCTCCGAAACCATTTGCACCTTTGATAAAGTTGATCAAAAAAGGCTTTATAACATAAACAACACAGGTACTGAGCTGTATTGTATGCCAGGAAATATGGAAAAACTACATTTTTCATATTGAAATACAATTGCTCTGAGAAAAAAAGTTTTTGTTAATACGTTTTATGCTCAAAAACATAGGCTTTATTGGCACCCCTGAAGTTTATAATAAAATTCAAGAAACGTCAATCTGCATTAACGTTTTAGCTTTCTATGTTCATCTTAGTCTTAAGGAACGATACTGTTGCCCTTCATGGCTTCCTGCTTGTGGTATAAAAATCCAGAAACAAAGTCAGATTACTTTAGTCATCCGCCACGATGGGGAAAGGCCAAGAACTCTCACATGAAAAAAGACAAAAGGTTGTTGACCTTCATAAATCAGGCAATGGGTAGAAACTTTTAGTAAAAAACTACACATACCACTTACCACTTTTAGGGTAAAAATTGAGGCGTTTAAAATCACTGCAACAGCTGTAACCATGCCTGGTAGAGGATACTAATGTATCTTACCCTTCTGCACAGTGTCACTTGGGAGGCAAAACAATCCAAGGGCCACATGCTGCTGAGTTAACTGGATTCTGGGTAAACTGGCCCTGGTGTAAGTGTGTGTGTGTGTCTGTGTGTGCCCTGTGATGGGACTGGTGTCCCATTCAGGGTGCATTGGATAAAGTACTCAGAACATGGATGAATGTGTATATAGATATAAAACAATAACTACTTTTATATTCAAATGCTAATATGCCAGGGACCTTTAAAATGTAAATGTTGACAATCTAGGCAGATTAGCTCCAAATGGGTTAATGAAAGCATTAATCATTTCCCTAACACTCATTTTTCAGGACACATCAAAATCGTATGGCATTCCAAGCCATTAAACTGTGCTTGTGCCTTCATCTTCATAGTAATCTTTCCCTTTGTTGGATTGGCATGTTGTGTCAGATCATGTAAATACAGTAGGCATCAGTTAGTCTCTGGGGAGACCTGTCTTTAAGCTGAAAAGCACTCTACTGAGCTCTTTTTCAACAACACAAAATCAGGCCTTGACAGAATTTACTACTAAACATTTAATCTTGTGGAGTATGACAGAGCAAACCTGAATGATTCTGAAAGATTTAGAAGTCCTTCCTGCAACTATGCCATTATTTATTAGAAATAACACAGTTTAAAAACGTCTCTGTTTTTGCTTCAAAAGACAGATCCTTTTTTCTCCTGAAGGTTTTAAGAAGGAATGGTTTTTCTCAATGTCTGGCATAACAATTTACTTTTTAGTGTTTGTCTTTTTGCATAAACCATCAAATGAATTTACAATTCAGTGCCCTGGGTGTATATTACTTGAATAATACTTTATATTGCGATGACATTTATTTTAAATGTGCATTTTGAGAGAGTGTGTGTCTTTATTATCCCCATGGAGCAATTTGTTTTGCAGCAGTGGACAACAGAAAGAAAACACACACACACAAACAATATACAAACGTGCACAAGACAATCAACTATGGCCACAGATACAGTACAAATGAGGACTTGAACCTGTTTGTTTTTAAACTGGGAAATCTGAATATGCATTCTAAGGAGAATAACTGGACATTGTCTAAAAAAGTGATGTTTGTCTGAAACCAACACACAAGTATTTATTTATAGTAGTTTAAGGAGGTAGCTATGTCAGCATGCGTAGGCTGCAAAGGAACAAGTAAAGGTTTATTCCATGCTGAAAAGAGAGGAAAAGAAAAACAATGTTTAGACTGTGGAGCCTTAAGACTGCATAAAGGAATGCACTTGGAATATACAGTAGGTATGATTTGCCAGACAAAGCCTGTACTGCCATGATATGTCACTATTTAACTTTTCCCAAAATGAGCACCGTAGTATTGGAGAAAGGCAGCACGAGCCCAGTCTATCCTAGTTAGCCACACACGTGGACTAGGAATTAGGATCACTGATCACAATGTACCTTCACACAGTTCAGATTATGATTCAAATAAATAAACTCAATTAATCAAAACAAGTTTTACTTTCAGATATTTTGGCTTATCCTCCTCGAACTAAAAGGACATGAGTACATGTTAAAGATTACAAACAAGGCCATGCCATCGAGCTTATTTGGCTGAGGATCTGAGGATCTCATCTAGCTTTGGTCTGGAAGGAAACCAAGGTGTCACCTTCACCTACTGGTCCACATTTGCTTGTTCAAGGACTCCCTGCCCCCTGTTTGAAATAAATAAATAAAGCCAGCAGCCATATCACCCTGCAACTCACAACTGGCAACCCAGCAGGTGTGAGCCTGGTCAGTACCTGGATGGGAGACCTCCTGGTAAAAACTAAGGCTGCTGCTGGAAGAGGTGTTAGTGAGGCCACCCTACGGTCCATGTGGGTCCTAATCCCCCAGTACAGTGAGGGGAACCTAATACTGTAAACAGGTGCCGTCCTTCAGATGAGATGTAAAACTGAGGTCCTGACTCACTATGGTCATTAAAAATCCCAGGGTGTTTCTCGAAAAAGTAGGGGTGTAACCCTGGCGTCCTGGCCAAATTTCCCATTGGACTTTACCAATCATGGCCTCCTAGTAATCCCCATCTATGAATTGGCTTCATTACTCTGCTCTCCTCCCCACTGATAGCTGGTGTGTAGTGAGAGAACTGGCGCACTATGCCTGCTGTCGCATCATCCAGGTGGGGCTACACACTGCTGGTGGTGGAGGGGAGTCCCCATTACCTCTAAAGTGTCCTGAATGGAGGGTCTCGAAAAGCGCTTTATAAATGTAAGCAATTATCATTATTATTAAAAGAACCCCCTCTTCTACCCTGTTGTGCTCGGTCTTAAATGCACCATTGGTAACCAATTTTGTTCTGTGCGTCATGTTTCGTGGATGATCTTGAAGCTGTTCAAAAGCTGTTGCTTTGTCAACATCTCTGAAGATTTTGAATGTCTCTGAGGACATTCAACCTACACCCACTTATGTAAAAATCCTCTTTAAGGGCATTTTAAACATTTTCAAAATTTCTTACATTTTCATTTGCTATTTTCAAAACTTCATGGAGGCTTCTAATCTTCTTCTATATTGTCCTTCTTTTAGAGGAGATAGCACCCTTGTTTTCTTAAGTTACTACAAAACCTGAGCAAAGTACTGAAATATCTTGTCAATGTTATCCAACTAGGATAATTTCTTTCTCTGCATACTGAAAATAAGAAATAAAAAC